TCTCATTCTGACGGCACCCATTCACTTCAGAGGATCCCTTGGTGAGCAATTGATGTCATTTAAATTTCTCCAAATCTTTTCCGGTGAAGAGACAAACTCCTCTACATCTTGGATGACCTGAGAGTGAATAAATTTGAGCACATTTTCATTTTTGGGTGAAACTAATGTGTGACCGTTTTCACAATGCAAAATTAGAAAAAATGACATTTTATTTGTCCCAGACACCTCTTCAACACAATTAAGATACTGCAGTATGATATTGATATTGTAGGCCTACATCAATTCAGTTTTTATCAGCCACTAGAAAGTCACATTTACAAAATATACAGTTAGCTGCAAAAACATAAAGATGCTAAAGCTGTAATTATTTGTTTTCAAGCATAAAATGTTGTGATTTAAAGTCATAATTCTAAGAAATAAACACAGGTTTCAAGTTGCAGTTGTGAAATATGAAATTTAGTTTATTAGACTACATAAGAGAGACAAAAAGGGGCCACATTTGACCATAATTCATCTTCACAAACACCATGACATCATATTTTGCCAAGGCAAACACCACTCCACTCAAAAGAATCTAGTTCGTTTTATTTTTTGCAGGTTTCATTGATAGCCATTTAAATGGCTTTAATCAGAATAAATGAATATCTCTCCACATGTGCCTCTTTTGTTGTTTTTGTAATTGGAACAATCGTAGCCTAGACTTTGTTCTCGCCTTTCATTATTGCTCTTTTCTCCTTCATTTAACTCTCATTATTCTCAGCGCTATGCACAGAACACCACAGGAAGTGGTGCGGGTTTGCCATGGAAAGAAAAACCTGTCCTGCCTCTTTAAATCCATCTCCTCAGCCTATCTGCCTTGTGTTCCCATGGCAACATCTTATTGGGATTTAATATATGGGGTCCTTGTAAACCAGTGTATAATGTATGGGCCTTGTTTTTAATCTTAGCCCTAGTTTATTGATCTTTTTAATGAAACTTAATTATAGTAATCTTTTAATTAAGAGTACCATACCCCAGTTTACTACAATCCCCTTGAGCTATGAATAAATAGAATTGTATATTGTGAGCCCCTGTGTGCTCTTTACAAATAAAGTGGCCAAGTCTAAATCCATCAAGTACTGTGTCTGTCCATGAATTCAGAAAAGACATGAATAAATCCATATGAACTTGTCCTTTATGGGTATTGAGAATATGAAAACATGATAGAAAGGGTGTGGTCATCTTTATCATTCAGAAACACTTCAAAGATAAACCAAAATAAATTCCGAAATTAATTTAGCTGGTAATATGAAACATAATATTTAATAGTAATAATAATAATAATATTAAATAAACATCTCTTGATCTGGTAATGTTATTTCAAAATTGACAGTTTAATTTAACCAATTCAGAAGTATTTAATACTATATTAAATACTTTTTAATTATCACAAATTTAATGATCTAAAATATTTAATTAATTATTCTTAATAAAACCAAATTTTCATCATAACCATCCACCCATGCTGTCTCATGTCTGAGCCTTTAATGCTCCTGTATGAGTAATGCAGGGATGTTTCTTTGTCCTCGGATAATTACTGTATGACACACGCAGATAAATGAGGGCACACTGGCAGGATCCATTAGGTTTGGTCTCAGAAGTGTTTGTGTGTGGTTAGGTTTGACATTTCTCCAGCCAGCAGGGTCATTAGAGCTAATCTGTGGTGCACTATCGCCCTCTACTGGATTAATTATTTGCTGATTTAGATTCCACACCCGTTGTTTCATTGTGAATATTGCCAGCTAAATTTGTGTCATCATTTACTCACCCTCGTGACGTTCAAGACGAGTATGATTTTATGTAGAACACAAAATAATAATTTTTTTTTTTTTTGAAGAAAGTCCTCGCTGCTTTTGTTTCTCCTCATTAGAACAGTGTGACCATGGCCTGTTAAGCGTAACGAAAGACAAAAACATCATAAATATAGCCTATACGACTGATACAATATATATATATATATATATATATACACACACTATATATCAAGTCTTCTAAAGCTAAATTGTACTATTGTGTGAAGCACAGACCGAAATCCGAGTCATTCACGGCAAAATCCTCGGCTGCAGCTTTAAATCTTTTTCCTGCTTTCATATTTAAATTTGGCGCGTGGACGCGTCGCGTAGCGGATTGACGTCATTGCTGTTCGTCACAACAGAACGCTCTGTAAATCTTTAACTGTTCAATTTTGTTAGATAAATATCTTGATTTCACCACACATTTTACTTACATAAAGCTAATTTTGCATCGTGATATTATTTTATATAATATATGCAGTTCCAAATGAACTCATTTATTCATATACTTCTGCCAATCAATCACAAGGACATAAACGTCTGCTTATTCCTCAACCCCACCTTAAAAAAAAAAAAATAATAATAAATAAAATGAATTAGGTAAAATTAGAAAAAGAACTATTTCTATAACGAAGATGAAAGTTCTGTAATGACTGTCTAAGATACGCAGATTTTTTTCAGTTCATGGTGCCACGGTGGGATTTCTGAAACTTAACACATACATATTGCCTGTTTCTAGGCTGCCGCCAGACAGCAAGCGTTTGGTCCTTACAGAGATGCCCTGAGTCTGAATTTCATGTTTTTCTTTTTTATAGCAAGAGATCTGAATATATGTAGCATGCTTTTCAAGTGTGTGCGTGTGTGTGTGTGTGTGTGTGCGCGTTCCTGTATTTCATTGTGATATATGAGATTCAAAAAATTGTCCAGATGCATTTGTGTAGTAATCCTGAAGAATTGTCTAGGCCAATGAGGTCAAATCCTACACAGTCTTTTATGTGTGTGTGTGTGTGTGTGTGTGTGTATACGTAAAAGTATTTTTAAGGACATTTAAAAGTGTATTTACACACTCTTGAATATACATTTTAAAAGTTATGAAAGTAGTTTCAGTGATTGGATGGACACATGAACAGAATTAAATTGTAACGTATTTATACTTAATGGTGATATTTTGTAATGTCTTCAATTGTAATTAAAAAACTTTGTATTACATGTAATACAGTACAAAAAATATTCTATTATTTTAAATTCTTATAATTATTTTGCTTTTGGGGATAAATATGACCTGGACCTGGTGAGATTCACACGTCAATGGCAGTGAAAGCCCATGTGTCTAACATAAAAGTGAGTAAATTATGACATTTGGATGAACAATTACTAAAGCATATACTAAACAAAATAAAGTACATGTAGTAAGTAAATAAATAAATAAATGAATAACAGAGAGAGATTCTCAAAAAAAAAGTTTATTGTGCCTCTTATTGTTTATATGGCTTTTTATATAACAGAATTTGTTGAACACGAACAAAGAACTGACAATACATTAGCCAAGTCTAGAGAACAAGAAAAATATGACGAAGAGTTAAAGTAATCTCAACATTCCGCTTGCTTTACGTGTGGCTGTGGTGCAACTCTGAAGGAGAAGAGGTCAATACTCACAGCTCACACACTCTCTGACAGCACCACAGTGATGACATTCATTTAACAAAGTACTACACTACAGCTTATTGAGTGCAGCCATCCTCACATTCAAAACACAAACACACACACACACGCAGACACACACAGCTGAGTTGTGGTCATAGTCATATTGCTTGACTGAGACTGATACCTTTTAATGTTCAGTGGCACACGACCACCAAATTGCATACTGTGTGTTTTTGGCAATAAAATGAATTAGGTAAAATTAGAAAAAGAACTATTTCTATAACGAAGATGAAAGTTCTGTAATGACTGTCTAAGATACGCAGATTTTTTTCAGTTCATGGTGCCACGGTGGGATTTCTGAAACTTAACACATACATATTGCCTGTTTCTAGGCTGCCGCCAGACAGCAAGCGTTTGGTCCTTACAGAGATGCCCTGAGTCTGAATTTCATGTTTTTCTTTTTTATAGCAAGAGATCTGAATATATGTAGCATGCTTTTCAAGTGTGTGCGTGTGTGTGTGTGTGTGTGTGTGTGTGCGCGTTCCTGTATTTCATTGTGATATATGAGATTCAAAAAATTGTCCAGATGCATTTGTGTAGTAATCCTGAAGAATTGTCTAGGCCAATGAGGTCAAATCCTACACAGTCTTTTAATTTGACTGGAGCGCTGCATAACTTCTGCCTGAGCACTCTGAATGAAACCGGTCCAGTATGACATCATATGCACGATGCAAAGACTTGAAGGTAATGGACATGTGGGTGTTTTCTGTTTGGAGCTGGGCTCCCTGACAGGAATTGAACCCTACAAGCTGCAAACTTTGGCACAGACACACCATTCAATTGGCAGCGAATCATATGACCAAATAAAAGCCGATACGTAATGGCATTCTCCTAAAAACACGGATCATTCGATGGGAGATACCCAGCCACTGAACTGATTATCAATGACATCTAATGCTGAGCCAAAGTGCCCAAGAACCCAACCAAGCAGCTGGATAAAGACTCAGCAGAGGTCTGCCAGTTATAGCAATCCGATTATCTTTCTGTAAGTCTGCCCAGGAAAGCTATCCAAACAAAATATAACTAAGAAAATACAATACAGGACAAAAAAATATATAAAGGTATATATAGATATGTATGGGCTTATTCATAAAATGTAAAGAGAACAAACTATCTCAAGGCTGAAAAGTCAAAATGATATTCAAAAGCATCGATGACAGAAAAAGATGAGCATTTTCAGTTCTCATCCTGTATTTTCTTTTGAAAGACTTTTTTGAACCCGTTGAGAGTCAGCTGTTAATGGTATACGTCCATTTGGCTTCTCCTTTTCAAAGCAAACAAATAAGTTTTATAAAAGCGGCAGTTATTTTGTCTGAAAAGCCAGTTGTTTTGTCTTTCGCCTTCCCTCTCGTTCTGCGGGAGAGGTCCTGAGAAGAGTTTTTTTATGTGAGTTTCCTCAAATCGACTCACTGATGTCTCTCATCGTTGCCCGAGTGGCCTGAGTTAGGAGTGTCTGTACAGGTAAGGCTGGAAGAAGAAAGCTTCCTCACTGAGCTCTTCCTCCATGGCTCTTTCTGGACACGTCCACATTGGGTTCCTGGCCGCCCCAGGCCTCTCCGTCGCTGTCTGTACCCCTCTCCTCCTCTCCGTCGTCGTCATCGTCATCCTCCTCCTCCGGTGAAGGCTCACTGCCGTTCTCTGTGGCCCAGCTGTCATCCTCGTCCTCCTGCTCTTTCTTCATAGTAAGCAGGGCGGGTGGAGGAGTGGGCTGTTCGAGCTCGGGCTTCTTCTCTGTGGACTCAGCCTGATCCTCGAAGGCCTCTGGGTTTTCCAGCATCTCTCGAATGAGAGGAGGCATGGGGCCTGGGATCTCCATCTTGAGAGTTATGGCCCTTTCTGCTCCTGTTTCACACAAACAGTTAATTTCAGGATGGTGTGGTCTACATAATAATATGTATTAAGGTAAAAAGTACCTAGCAGAAAGTGAAAGCCTATTCAAATAGATTTTCACACTAATTTTGGGCATCAATTTTTTTTTTTTAAATCAAAAAACATTTTTTGTTGTTGTTGTTGAAGGATTTTAAACTTTAATTCAAAAACATTTATAATCTTACAAAAGATTTCGATTTCAAATGAATTCTGTTTTTTGAATGTTCTATTCAGCAAAGAACCCTGAAAAAGTACCACAGTTTCCACAAAAATATTAAGCAGCACAACTGTTTTCGACATTGATAATAATAAGCACCAAATTAGCACAAAAAATTATATATAATTGAATATATATATATATATATATTAATTTGGCAGTATATTTTGCTTTAAAGGGGTCATATGACGTTGCTAAAAAATAACATTATTTTGTGTATTTGGTGTAATGAAATGTGTTTATGCGGTCTAAGGTAAAAAAAAAAACACATTATTTTCCACATACTGTACATTGTTGTTTCTCCTCTATGCCACGCCTTTCTGAAACGTGCCGATTTTTACAAAGCTCATCGGTCTGAAAAACGAGGTGTGCTCTGATTGGCCAGCTATCTAGTGCGTTGTGATTGGCCAA